ATCAATTCCGCAAGAGTCATGGATCCCGGATTTTTTTTTTTTACATGTTCTTTAAATTAGCTGATTTTAGGTACTTTGATTCAAAAAATTACTGCAAAAAAATAATGCACTGTTTGGGCTAACATGATAGCACCTATCAGATATTCACAGATAATTACAATGAGAACTGTAGTAATGTGTTTTTTTATTATTTATTTATGTCAATTGCTTACAAGATAATAGGTATAAGTAAAAACATAGTTATGAATACATGGATACATATAAGAAAAATAAAAATAAATAAAAGGAACAATAGGACAGGGACAGTAGGCACATTGGTGCGCTTATGCACACCCCCTACAGACCTCTTAGGAAAGGGGTGAGGTCAATAGTAGAAAGTCTAAGGTTAAAGGTTTGGGGGTTTGGGGAAGAAACCACAGAGTCAGGTAGAGTATTCCAGACATTGACCACTCTGTTGCTGAAGTCGTATTGCCTGCAATCAAGTTTGGTGCGGTTAACCTTGACTTTGTATCTATTGTTTGCTCTTGTGTTGTTATGGTTGAAGCTGAAGTATTCATTAACAGGTAGGACATTGCAATGTATGATTTTATATACTATACCTAGATCGGACCGAAGGCGGCGTAGTTGTAGGTTTTCTAGATCTAGAATTTCGAGTCTGGTGGCATAAGGTATTCTGCAACGAGTAGAGGAGTGGAGAACTCTTCTTGTGAAATATTTCTGGACTTTCTCAACTGTGTTAATATCAGATACGTAATGTGGGTTCCAGACTGATGAGCTGTATTCGAGTATTGGTCTAGCAAATGTTTTGTATGCTCTAGTTATTAGTGTTATATGGCACAATTTCCTAACATTATCGTACCATCTTGTATGCGTTGGAAGTTAATATCTTTCAGACTAAACCCACTGTAATCACATGATCTCTCACCATAATTTAAACAATGACCTAGTTGAAAATCATACTGGGAGCAACATGGGGCAATAGGCTTCCCGCTGTAGAAGTCCATCCTTCGCTATAGGGAGGGCAGGGCTGGGTGTGGTGCAGGAACACAAGAGAGCTCCACAGCCTGTCCTTTTAATCTTGTGAATACACTTTTAAGTGTATGACATGGTTGTATCTGAGCCAGGTAAAATTCTGAAGACAGGGCAACAGAGTTTTGTGGGGGCCTTGCTTGGCCTTACACACTGGTCCCAGATTTAATTGTTGATAGCTCTTGGTTCAGCTGGGAAAGGGCTCCAGATTGAAACCAGGTGCAGGGAGGTCAACCCAGGTGCAGGGATGCCTCAACTTAAAATAGGGGTCCCCAAACTTAGCAACTTTAAGACTTGTGGTTCCTCAGCCAGATTTGCTGGCTGAGGAATTCTGGGAGTTGAAGTCCACAAGTCTTAAAGTTGCCAGGTTTGGAGATCTCTGACTTAAAACCACAATTGCACCCGAAATTTCTATTGCTAAGCAAGACGGTTGTTACAACTTCTCCTGTCCCCATTGTTCAATGAATCCCTGCAGTTGTTAAGTTAGTAACACGGTTGTTAAATGATTCTGACTTCCCCATTGATTTTGCTTGTCAGAAGGTCACAAAAGGTGATCACCCTGGGACACTGCAACTGTCATAAATACATGCTGGTTGAATTTTGATCACGTGACCCTGGGGATGCGGCAACAGTCATAAGTATGGGGAAAGGTCATAGGTCGCTTTTGTTAGTGCCATTGTAACTTTGTAACAGTTACTAAATAAATGGATGTTAAGAGCCTTGATTGCATAGTGGTTAGAGTGCAGTACTGCAGGCTACTTCTGCTGACTGCCATCTGCCTGCAATTTGGCAGTTCAAATCTCACCAGGGCTCAAGGTTGACTCAGCCTTCTATCCTTCCGAGGTGGGTAAAATGAGGACCCAGATTGCTGGGGGCAAGAGGCTGACTCTGTAAACCGCTTAGAGAGGGCTGTAAAGCACCATGAAGTGGTATATAAGTCTAAGGGCTATTGCTATTGCTAGTCAAGGACTACCTGTAAACAGCCCTGGGCTATGTAGATCAAAGGTTTGATTTTTTTTTAATGTGTGTAACATCTTTGAAATCGAGTTGTCTTTGTAACCTGTATAACTTGTCTATCCAATCTCCCATGAATTCTTCACTCCATCCAGCAAGGACCCTTTCTGTGATAGAAATGGCGTGCAAATAAATTTTATAAATAAATAACGGCAAAGGAACACAGTGAAAATAAGTACATCAATATGATAACCTAAAAGTTGGAGGGGTGGAGAGCAGAAAGCACAGGGCATCAATCTAGCAGCCTTCTCCAATGTGGAATTTCATGCTGACCCCATGAGGCTGCCTGTGTGTGTGTGTGTGTGCATGTGCGTGTGTCCCTGTGCCCAGCATGAGGTGGTTCCCTTTCCTCTCATCGCTTTTTCCTGAAATCAGTTTTCTGGATAAGAGAGTATCTGTTGTTTGTCTTTTCAGCTGCTTCTTACTCAGACCTTCCAGCTCAATTTGTTGCAGCCCATTTCGTTTCCTTTCCCTTTTCCTGAAAGGAAACTCTTTAACTGTCCTCTCTCGCTGGGGTTGGAAGGCTCACTGGGGAAATCTCTGTTTCTTCAGTTGAAGCAAAGCACGTGGGACAACTGCCAAGAAGCTTGGCTGAAGCCAAAAGCTGGAGAATCCACCTCTTCCTGGGTTTCAATCTTGTGGAGATCGGAGCAGATGCTTACAGGGGCATTCCCTTTCTTTTAGACCAAGGATCTCCAACCTTGGCAACTTTTTAAGACTTGTGGACTTCAGCTCCCAGAATTCCCCAGCAAGCTGGCTGAGAAATTATGGGAGTTGAAGTCCACCAGTCTTAAAATTGCCAAGGTTGGAGACCCCTGCTCTAGACCAGGGTGTCCCACCTTGGCAATTTTAGGACCTGAGGATCTCAACTCTCAGAATTCTCCAGTCAGCTGGGAATTCTGAGAGTTGGAGCCCATAGGTCTGAAAGCTGCCAAGGTGGGACACCCCTGTCTAGACCTACTTATGTAGTTAGGTTGAATTTTTGCTGGTAGCCCTGAATCTGGTGCATTGTGTTTCCTCTTAGGACATAGATAACCTGCTATCTTTGTTCCTGCAAACGGATTCCGTGACCCATCGACTCCTCAGGGCATCATGGGTGACAGACAGTATCTCTTGCTCAAGCTGGAGAAATGGCTGACAGGCAGTATCTGTTCAACTGTGGAGCCTCCTGAGGCAGATTTTCCTTAAAAGAAAATACAGCAATTTGTCCTCTGTGCTTGTATGAAACACAGAGTTTTAATGTACTGAATTCCATGAAGGAAAGAAAGATAGTATGGAACATCGGGTGGCTTTTATGATAAGAAAAATATTGAAAAATACTTACTATTGTACAGTATACCTGTACACTAGACTTATAACCATTCATTTAGTGACAGTCCAAAGTTTAAAAAGTGATTTATTACTGGTCCTCATACTTATGACCATCATATCCTACCCGTGGTCATATGATCAAAATTTGGGAGCAACCGGCATGTATTTATGATGGTTGCAATGTCCTGGGGCCATGTGATCATTATTTGTGACCTTTGCAGTTGATTTCCAACAAGCAAAGTCAATGGGGGGGGGGGTACTGGATTCGCTTAATGACCGCTTGGTTCAATTAACAACTGCAGTGATTCACTTAATAACCATGCCAAAAAAGGTAAAATAAGAGTATGACTCACTTAACAACCAACTTGATAGGCAATGGAATTTCTGGTCCCAATTGTCATAAGTCAAGGACTAGTGTGGCTGCTGTTGCGGTTACTGTCATTCAATCACACAGGCATTCATCTAAAAAAAATGCTCAAAAGATTTTAATCAAATGCGTTAATAAGACCAAGTGAGGATAGTATTCCCAGGAATGACCTCAAGGCTGCCTGATGGTGAAAACTACTAGAGAAACATCCTTGGGCATTGACACTGCCTCCTATAAATAGGTGGGTAGGCCTGGCTTCAACCCCGAAAGAGGCCGCGTATCTCTTTCAGTGCTCTGGAGAGATAGCACTAGCACTTAGCCTATTACAGCGCTTCACAGTGCTTTACAGCCCTCTCTAAGCAGTTTACAGAGTCAGCCTATTGCCCCCAACAGTCTGTCTCCTCATTTTACCCACCTCGGAAAGATGGAAGGCTGAGTCCACCTTGAGCCAGTTAGGATCGAACTCCTGGCAGTGGGCAGAGTTAGCCTGCAGTATTGCATTTTATCCACTTTACCTCCAGGATCAAGTGGTTGAGCACCCAATGTCCGGTCATGTGATCATGGAGGGAGGGGTGACCATCAGAATCCACATCATAGGTACCCAATAACGGAGGTGGGATGCAAATAGTTTTACTACCGGTTTTGTGGGCGTGGCTAGGTGGGCCTGGCCATGTGACTGGGTGGGCATGGCTGCTCTTTTTTGGTGCAGCACACCATCCCCTCACACGCTCCAGGTTTTTTTTTGTCTCCTGGGGGGGGTCGTTTTTGCTCCCAGAAAGCTTCCCTGAGGCCCAGGAAGGTAAAAAACGGAGCGCAGGGGTGGGGGGGCACAGCACTCCTCCGTGCTCTATTTTTTTTGCCTCCTGGGTCTCTGGGAAGCCTCCTGAGTGAAGCAGTAAGACAGCGAGGGAGATCCTGGCACAGCTGATCGTTGGGGGGGGGGGGGGAAAAATACCTGTTTGGCTGAACCGGGCCAAACCGGTAGAATCCTACCACTGCCCCATAAGTAGGTTTGTCAGAACTTTAAACAGTTGTTAAGCGACCAATCACAAGTCGAGGACTATCTGTAAGTTGACAAGATGAAGAGTAGGGCCTCAGGTGTCTGATTATAAAAATCAGGCAGGTTTCTATGAACTTGGCAATCTTAACACCCGCCCTTTTGTCAGCTAGATACAATACTTCCAAGCACAGCTTATGCCTGTGAACAATGCTTCCAAGCACAGCTTATTATGCCTGACCACTATTTCTTTTCTTTTTTTTCTTAATTTCTTACCTTCAGGATGAATTCCATCCTTTCATTGAGGCCCTCCTCCCTCATGTCCGGGCCTTCGCCTACACCTGGTTCAACCTCCAGGCCCGGAAGCGCAAGTACTTCAAGAAACACGAGAAACGGATGACGAAAGATGAGGAGCGGGCTGTCAAAGATGAGCTGCTCAACGAGAAGCCGGAAGTGAAACAGAAGTGGGCTTCGCGCTTGCTGGCCAAGCTGCGCAAGGACATCCGCCCCGAGTACCGGGAGGACTTTGTGCTCTCCATCACGGGGAAGAAGCCCTCGTGCTGCGTCCTGTCCAACCCTGATCAGAAGGGCAAAATGCGCCGCATCGACTGTCTCCGCCAGGCTGACAAAGTCTGGCGCCTCGACCTCGTCATGGTGATCCTCTTCAAAGGAATCCCCCTGGAGAGCACCGATGGGGAACGCCTTGTCAAGGCCACACAGTGTACCAACCCTGTCCTCTGTGTCCAGCCACACCACATCAGTGTCTCGGTCAAGGAGCTTGACCTCTACCTGGCATATTTTGTCCGTGAGAGAGGTAGGCTTCCAAGCTGGTTGTCACCTAGGATTGGGACCATTCAGGGGGGAATTTTACTCAATAGTCCTTAGCTGTGATATTGTAGGCGACTGATGGAGGGGTCAAACGCGTCATTAGTCATGAGTCGCTGCGGGCCCACAAGAGATCTAACTCCAGCCCACCTTGAATACCTTCTTAATTCCTGCATCATTTGCCTTGACTGTTAACACAGGTAGTTCTCGACTTACAACAATTCATTTGGTAACCGTTCGAAGTTGCAACGGCACTGAAATCAAGTAACTTATGACCATTTTTCATACTTATGACCGCTGTGGCATCCCCATGATCATTTGGATGCTTGACCATCGGTTCATAATTATGATGGTTGCAGTATCCTGGGGTCACATGCTCCCCTTTTGCGATCATCTGACTAGCAAAGTCAATGGGGAAGCCAGATTCACTTAACAAGCATGCTACTAATTTAACAACTGCAGAGAATCATTCAACAAATGTGGCCAAAAAAAGTTGTAGAACTCACTTAACAAATGTCTCACTTAGCAACATAAATTTTGGGCTCAATTGTGGTGGTAAATTGAGGACTGCCTGTAGCTCCAATTCTTGTAGACAGCGTAAGCTTCCCATAAATCTTTATACTCATTTGAACTGCTCCAATCTCCCAATTTCCCTGGCACTTGACAGGTATGGAAAGGAACTTAGGGATTCAGAGGACAGGGCACTGTGAATACGGGCAGTCCTCAACTTACAACCACAACTGAGCCCAAAATTTATGTTCGGTCGTAAGTGGGGAAAAACAGTCATAAGTTACATTGTTCAGAGCTGCTGTAACTTTGAACAGTCATTAAAATGAAAGGTGGTAATTCAAGGACTGCCTGTACACCAGGGCAGCTCGGTAATGTTATGTGAGGCCCAGAAGAAACGTGGTTGACATTGTGGAAAGGAAGAAGTTTGGTTGCATGATTCATGAATCAAATCTAAGTTTAGTGATCCTCCTGTCCTTATTAGGCATGACAATTGGTAATGGGGTCTCTTGGTTCAGAGGTTGTCTGCTGCTGAATAAGAAGCTAAGAAGGAACGTATCCAGACAAGATGTTTTTGTGGCCCCCTTTGAAGTCTCCATGTGGTGCCACATTGATCATTGGTTAGAAGCAGCAGATGGATTCAGTCGTCTAAGCCAGAGGTCCCCCAACTTGGCAACCTTAAGACTTGTGGACTTCAACTCCCAGAATTCCTGAACTAACGACTGGAGGAGGAGGAATTCTGGGAGTTGAAATCCACAAGTCTTAAAGCTGTCGAGTTTGAAGACCTCTGGTCTAAGCCAGCAAGAAAGACAACAGCAATTAAGCCATGATTGTTACCTAAAGAACTGTCATGTTTAGTGGTTGTGTCTCTTACTGAGTATGAAATACAGTTGTGGCCCTTTGCTTTCTATTCTGTTGATGACCTTCTACAGCAGGGGCCTCCAACCTTGGCATCACATAGCTGGCTGGAGAATTCTGGGAGTTGAAGTCCACAAGTCTTAAAAGTTGCCAAGGTTGGAGACCCCTGTTCTACAGGTAGTCCTTGACTTACAACCATTTGTGACCTTCCCAGGTTCTGACAAGCAAAGTCAATGGGGGGGGGGGGAACCAGATTCGCCTAACGATCATAGGCCTCACTTAATTGCAACGATTTGCTTAACAACCGGGGCAAAAAGGTTGTAAAATCAGACAGGGCTCACATAACAACCGCCTTGCTTAGCAACAAAAATTCTGTTTATTTTTATTTATTTGTCAATTGCTTACAAGATAATAAGTATAAGTAAAAACATAGTTATGAATACACGGATACATATAAGAAAAATAAAAAAATAAAAGAAACAATAGGACTGGGACAGTAGGCACGTTGGTGTGCTTATGCACACCCCCTACAGGCGTCTTAGGAAGTGGGTGAGGTCAATAGTAGAAAGTCTGAGGTTAAAGTTTTTGGGGTTTGGGGAAGAAACCACAGAGTCAGGTAGAGTACTCCAGACATTAACCATTCTGTTGCTGAAGTCGTATTTCCTGCAATCAAGTTTAGTGCGGTTAACCTTGAGCTTGTATCTGTTGTGTGCTCTTGTGTTGTTATGGTTGAAGCTGAACTATTCATTGACAGGCAGGACATTGCAATGTATGATTTGATATACTATACTTAGATCGGACCGAAGGCGGCGTAGTTGTAGGTTTTCTAGATCTAGAATTTTGAGTCTGGTGGCATAAGGTATTCTGCAATGAGTAGAGGATTGAAGAACTCTTCTTGTGAAATATTTCTGGACTTTCTCAACTGTGTTAATATCAGATACGTAATGTGGGTTCCAGACTGATGAGCTGTATTCGAGTATTGGTCTAGCAAATGTTTTGTATGCTCTAGTTATTAGTGTAATATTACCAGAGAAAAAGCTACGTAAGATTAGATTAACAACTCTTAATGTCATTTTGGCTATGTAGTTACAGTGGGCTCTGGCACTTAGAGTTCATTAAAGCCTTCTAAATAAAGACGGGCGTTTACTTTAGAATTTGCAAATCCATATAAAAGAAAGGGTACTCGGTCACATTTCAGCGTAGAGCCTATAGAAATTAGGACTTCTGCGTTTGCTTTCATCAAGAACTTTTCTGCCTTATTTATAGACATAACGGGGTTGGACTAGAACAGTGGTTGCCAACCAGTGGGCCAGGGACCACTGGAAATCTGCGATAAAATTTTGGTGGTCCTCAGAGAAATGTCACCCCCAAAGCAATTAATCCAAACTGTGTGGGAACACAAGGCTGCACCATCCACATGGCCCACGGGAACACAAGGTTTGCGACGCTTGCATTGCAAACAACACGAGGTAGTGAGGAGAGAGGGAAAGGGCGGAGGGGGGGAACTTGTTCCACACACCTCGCCTGGCCACCGGGCTGCTTCTTTCCGCTTCTTTCTTCTTCTGCTGTTGGCTGCAGGCAAGGAAAGCAGCAAAAGTCTTTCTTTCTCTCCCCCAGACTCCGCCAGAAATGAGTCTTTGGGATCTTATTTATTTATTTATTTGATTTATATTGCCGCCTATTCATCCATGGCGACTCGAGGCGGCTTACACAATGTAAAATCACATTTAAAACAAAAAATAAAAATAAAAACAATAAAAACTAACTAAAAGAATCAAATATATTAGTAAAGTACAATAGAACAAAATTAGTAATGTACAAAATTTTGGAAAAAAAAAAAAAAAACTCCCACCCTCGACCCGATGACAGCAGATCACACTAGCCATTTGATGGGTTTTGCCAGGCCCGCTGGCAAAACCAGGTCTTCAGTGCCTTTCGGAAGAGTATTAGTGAGGGGGCCATTCTAATCTCTGGGGGGGATGATGTTCTAGAATCTAGAGAGATGGAGCCACCACAGAGAAGGCCCTTCTTCTGGGTCCCAGCAGGTGTATCTCCCTCAGGTGTATGTTGAAAGGCACCCTGCTCCAAGATGCTGCACCGGCGCAACAAGTCTCACAAAGACTCATTTCTGGCGGAGTTTGGGGGAGAGAAAGAAAGACTTCTGCTGCTTCTCCTGCTTTCCTTGCATGAAGCCAAAAGTCTCTCTCTCTCTCTCTCTCTCTCTCTCCCCTTAAGAACGGAGCTGGAGATGGTATCCTGCGATCCCAAATAAAGAATGATTGATCAGTAGGAAAATGGGGTGGGGAATTTTCCTGCAGACTTTTTTGGGGATTTTCCCAGGGTCTCTGGTCCACAGGATTTAATTATGAGCTTGGTGGTCCCTGAGGTCCAAAAGATTGGCGACCCCTGGACTAGAAGATCTCTAAGCTGCCTTCCAACTCTATTCTGTATTCTGTAGCATGAAGCAAACCAACATTTCAAGTCTTAGTGAGGTTGTTCACCAGCTGCAGGTGTTGGAGGGAGCATTGGTAGTCAGAAACAGCAAAGGGGTGAGTGGAGTGTCAAATCCCACCCCTGATGTCCATGCATCATTTAAAAGGGGGGCAGAGCTTGCACTGCGACACTCTTTTTGCCATCCTGCTGAATTTAACCCTCCCAATGCCATATATATCACAATATGTGGGGAAAAAATCCATCTGACTTTGTTAGTAGTTAAGATAGACGTGTCCTTTGGTTGGATAATAATGATGGTGGCTTAATTTATGTCACCCTCAAGATCTTAGGTTTGGTCCCCAGCTTCTCCAGGTGGAAAGGAGATAAGGAGAAGCCCCTTTGTATCCTGGGGGGTCAGAATAACTGAGTTGGAAGGGACCCTGGGGGTCTTCTAGTCCAACCCCCTGCTCAAGCAGCAAGCCTTGTATCATTTCAGACAGATATTTGTCCTAGTAATAAAGGAGAATATTTGTATCTCAGGGTTTACATGAGAGGTCCTGGGCGTTTGTTTTCTTGCAGATGTTTCATTACCTAAAACTAGGTAACATCATCAGTGTTAGTGAGGAGTGTAGTTTGCTGTCAGTTTATATTCTGGTCTCTTGCCTGCCAGTGTTGGTTGGGCTGTTTATCGTTGGCTCTTCGGCAGTTTCTTGATGGGGGTATTGTTTACTTGATTCTTGGTCTGGTGCTAACCTTGGAGTTAATCTATGCTGATCTGGGTGCTGATTGATGGTGGAGAGGTTCTTAGGACAGATACAGATTAACAGAGTTGGAAGGGACCTAGTCCAACCCCCTACCCAAGCAGACCCTACACCATTTCTGACAGATAGCAGTCCAGTCTCTTCTTGAAAGCTTCCAGTGATGAAGCGCCTACAAACTTCTGAAGGCAACATCTGTTCCATTGGTGGATTGTTCTCACTGTCAGAAAATTTCTCCTTATTTCTGGGTTGAATCTCTCCTTGTTCAAGTTTCCATCCATTATTCCTTGTCTGGCCTTCGGGTGCCTTGGAAAATAGTTTGACTCCCCCTCCTCTTTGTGTCAGCCCCTCAAATATTGGAAGTCTGCTATAATGTTTCCCCTGGTCCTTCTCTTCGCTAGACTAGCCACGCCCTGTTTCTGCAACCGTTCAT